AGAGAGAAAGAAAGAAAGAAAGAAAGAAAGAAAGAAAGAAAGAAAGAAAGAAAGAAAGAAAGAAAGAAAGAAAGAAAGAAAGAAAGAAAAAAGAGGCATTTACCTACCCGTGCCCCATCCAGAGCTGGCCATGCTTTCTCTTCAACCCACCCTTGCAGAAATCAAGGATGCCCCCTGAGGCGTGTGGGACCTTCCCTTAATTATACAATCCACCTTAACACACCTCAGCACCCAACCGAGTCCGATTTCTGTGCCTCCGTTTAGTCGAGGCCAAGACTTGATCCACCTTGCTCCAAATGTGCAAGCACACACACACACACACACAAACACACACGCACACATACATCGCACTCACACCCGCACCATAACCACCCCTGCAGAGTATGTCCAGTAGCCACGGCCACAAGGCACACAGCTCCCTCAGCCCAGCTCTCCCCCACTTGTGTGCTCTCGGGCAGAGCTGTCTCCCTCCTGAATTCCTCCTCTGCAGACTGGAGGTAACGCTGAGTGTCCGGGAGACAGAGATTAACATATAAGGCCCTTAACGTGGGGCTTGGAAGAGAGGTAACGCACTCAATAAATGTTCCGATTACTACGATAACGTGGAGCATAGCACCCAATAAACGCTGGCTATCACTCTCATCTCAGTTGCCCTGACTTTACATGGGAATTAAGAGTCCTGAGTCCAGCAGGCTTCCTAAAGAGGGCAGAAAGAGGGCTTCCAGCCCCTGGGGGTGCAGGGAGAAGAGACGTCAACACAAGGTGATTGCAGTAATTCCTGCCAGCGCTGACAACCTCCCTTGCTATCTGGTCACCTCGCTCAGGAAGGCTCCAGATGGCTCTGTGGATAGCCCTCCTCCCAGAGCCAGAAAAACTGGACTCTGACCTCCAGGCTGTTTGTAATAGTGACCTTTCGCTTGGTGCCTAGGTGCCTGCCATTCAGGGAGAAGGGGGAATTTATAACTTTCCCAGCCCCTCCCCCAGAGGGAGAGCGGAGGGAGGGGCCTCAGCGCCTTCTGAACTTAAGAATTCAAACAGATTGCTGAGTACAGACCTTTGTTTCCAAAGGGGGAAAATAAAACCAGGAAGTATCTCTTAGTATGAATTTGTCCTTGGATAAAAAAAAGACAACCTGATTCAATGACAATAGTGAACATTGGTTGGAAAACACATTTCACAGGACCATCTGCCAGGGGCCAGAGCCTAGGTACCAGGACTCAGCCCACAGGGTGCTCACCTGTCACCGTACTTCTGCACCCTCACAGGCTGGAGCAGAGACTCCCCTACACCTCCCTTTCATGCCATGCTTTCTCAAAGGCAACTTGTCAGAGTCTGTCCTCTCCTTCTACCATGTGATACCCAGAGAAGGCACTCTAGCCGTCATGTTTGGTGACGAGCACCCTGACCCAGCATGTTATTTACTACGGTCAGAGTATACAGTGCATAGATAACTAAAGCATCCTCCTCCAGCCTCCCGGGACTATGTACCGGGGACCAGCACGTCCCTTCCCTGACTTGCCGCTTCTGGCTTCCACTCACTCTGTTGTTCCTACGCAATTGACTTCCTGAGACTCCACATACAAGCAATCACACCGTGTGTTGCCTGTGATTTGCTTTATTCACTTAGCATAATTCTGGATGTGGATCTGGAATGGCGTGTGGGCTTGCCGTCCAATAACCAGGTCCCTTTGTGAGCCTCATTCCATCACTCCCGTGGGTGACACCCAAGTGTCATCCCGACAGGTGGCTTTCAGCCCTTCCCCACTGTTTTTCTTTCATGGACATTAATCACCACCTGACATACGTTTTTATCTCCAACATTCATTTCAGTCACTGCCCCGCTCTTCTGGCTGAAACGGGCATGCGGCGGAGCCACGTGCTCACTCTGAGCATCTGACACCCGATATTCAAACAGTACCCTTTGAATGAATGCATGCCCACTTAACTTAAAGGATGTGTGGGGAAGTGTTGTGGTTCAGGGAAAATCCATCAGAATTTATTGAGTGGATGCTAATTAAATATTTTTTTAAAAATGAGCCTCAAGGTTTGATGAGGCTCTACTCAATAAATGTTTATGGGGTTGCTGCAAAGAGGGGGGGACTTGCTGGTGACAGGGTATGAGTGAATTACATAAGGGCCAGCCTGGGCAGGACAAAGGTCCTGCAGGGGTCAGTCCGGAATGGCGGAGGAACTCAGTAGAGAAATTTCTTTGCTGAGTTCTGTATTCTCGCTCACACCACCCGTGCCCAGTCATGTGCCTTCCACCAACTCTCTCAGCTGCGTGGGGCAGCTAGCTTGTGTGTTTGATCACACACACACACACACACACACACACACACACACACACTCCCTGCAGACGGACAAACAGAACAATGGCTTCTGCCACACAGTGGTCGCATGCCATAGGCAGGCAGGAATAGGAAAGACAGACCTAGAAGGACTGAAGGGTGAAGTCGTTAGGGAAATGATGTGGAGTTAGAGGAGTCTTTCTCCTGATGGCTAAAAGATGGAAGAACAGTCTATAAAAGCAAATAAATGAATGAACGAACAAAGTAACCTGTGGAATACACTAAACTCAGGTCAAACATACACTCCTGAGAAACAGCACCTGAAGCATGCTTGTGTGCTTACACATGCACGCTTGCGCAAGCATGTGCGCACACACTCAGAGCTGCTGCCAGGGCTGGGGTGAGTGTGTGGCTCACCTGTAGAGTGCTTCTCTTAAATGCACAGGACCCTTGGTTTCACCCCCAACAGCTTCCCGGGAGAGAATAAAGGTCACTACCTGCAATGATTAGTCTTCATTGTCCAACTTCAATGGATTTGGGATCACCTAGGAGACACACTTTGGGGTGTGACTATGGGGGAGAGAGGGAGAGCTGTGAAGAGTCACCCTGAATGTGAGCAGCCCTATCCCATGGGCTGGGGTTCTGGACTGGGGAAGCCAGCTGAGCACCAGCCTTTAAATGTTCTCTGGCCCCTGACT